AGGCCTGCAGGAGAGAGCAGTTAGGGGCGACCAGGCTGTCAAGGGAGGGCAGTTAGGGATGACCAGGTCTGCAGGGGAGGGCAGTTAGGGGCAACCAGGCCTGCAGGGGAGGGCAGTTGGGGGCGATTGGGTCAGCAGGAGAGCTGTTAGATATTGAACAGGCTGGCAAGTGAGTGGTTAGAGGTGATCCGGCTGGCAGGCAGAAGAGGTTAGGGGCAATCAGGAAGGCAGGCAGGCAGGCAGGCAGGCAAGCAGTTGGGAGCCAGCAGTTCTGGATTGTGAGAGGGATGTCTGACTGCTGGTTTAGGATCGAGCCTAAACTGGCAGTCAGACCTCCCCTGAGGGGTCCCAGATTGGAGAGGGTGCCGGCTGGGCTGAGGGACACTTCTCCCCCCCCCCCCCAAGTGCACAAATTTTGTGCACCAGGCCTCTAGTACATTATAATTTTTCTGTCTGGATGTTGAAGCCCTAACTGTCAGAATTCTGTTTGGTATGGAGTGAATGGAGAAAGACTCAATATATAATATGTCTATGTTTACTTTAGTATTTTCTCTTGCATCCGTTGTGCTTGATATGTTCTTATGTCCAGCGACCCTCTGTTCCTTTTCCAGAGAGGGGAAAAAATTCTTCTAGTCTTTTTTTTTTTTTTAATATATTTTATTGATTTCTTTACAGAGAGGAAGGGAGAGAGATAGAGAGCTAGAAACGTCAATGAGAGAGAAACATCGACCAGCTGCCTCTTGCACACTTCCTACTGGGGATGTGCCCATAACCAACGTACATGCCCCTGACCGGAATCGAACCTGGGACCTTTCAGTCCGCAGACCAACGCTCTACCACTGAGCCAAACCGGTTTTGGCTCGTCTAGTCTTTTTATTGGGTTTGTGGAAGGGTAGTTGTTTGCTTAGTATGCAGTGAAGATGTGTTTGCTTCTTAGATGTTCAAATAATCCTATTTTTAGTATTTAGGCACTTCTCATCCCTTTACCTCCCATGTTCAGCCTCTGGTGGTACCAATACTGAGTCTTAGGAGAATTATACAGATTCTGGGGATTGAATTAGCTTTTGGTTTTCTTCATTGCCAATTTAGGATTCATTTCTCTTGGGTCTGCTAAATTCATTGACCATGTATCTATTTCATGTCCAGCTTCAAAGTTTTTTGCCAGTTGAGACCAAAACTTCTTAATTTGTTTTATAGTCTGAGTTTCTGTCTGAAAATTTTTTTTTTTTTTTTTTTTTTTTTTTTTTTTTTGCAAATCATGTCTGTAAGAATCTTGTATCTATAATATATATTTTTACAACTTAATAAAGACAACCCAATAAAAAATGGGCAAAATATCTGATTAAACAGTTCTCTAAAGAAGATATACAAATAAGCACATAAAAAGGAACTCTACATAATTAATTATCAGGGGACTGCAAATTCAAACCACTTCCCATCCACTTGGATGGCTATAATAAAAAAGGCAGATAATAGCCCAACCAATTTGACTCAAGGGTCTCGGGTTTGATTCCGGTCAAGGGCATGTACCTTGGTTTGGTTGCAGGCACATCCCCAGTAGGGAGTGTGCAAGATGCCACTGAATCAATGTTTCTCTCTCATCGATTTTCTAACTATCCCTTTCCTCTCTTTAAAAAAATCAATAATGTGTGTGTGTGTGTGTGTGTGTGTGTGTGTGTATATATATATATATATATATATATATATATATATATATATATTTAAAAAGGCAGATAATAATAACAATGGTGAGAATGTAGAGAGTTTGGAAATGTTATACACTGTTGGTGGGAATGTATAATGGTACAGCCACTTAAGGTAGTTCTTGAAATGGTTAAACCAAAAGTTATATTACCCACTAATTCCATCTATATGTATATACACAAAAGAAATTAAAACAATTTCCACACAAAAACTTGTTGAATGTTTATAGCAGCTTTATTCATAATAGCCCAAAGGTGTAAACAACTCAAATGTTCACAACTGATGAATACATAAACAAAATGTATATCCATACAAAATATATTTGGCCATAAAAGCTTAATGATACATACTACAATATGGATGAACCTTTAAAATATGCTAAGTGAAAGAAGCCAGTCAGTCACAAAGACCTTATATAAGGCATATAATTGCAATTAGGTGAAATGTCCAGAATAGACAAATCTGTAGAGACAAAGTAGATTAGTAGTGTCTTCTAGCTTGGAGTGATAGGGTAAAAGGAGGTGACAGCCAAAATGTACTGGTTTCTTTTTGAAAAGACTAATTAAAAGGGGATTAATTAGATGAAATAATTTAATATTGCTATTTGCCCTTTCTTTATAATAGAAGTGTCAGAGATGAAAGAAAATTAGTAAAATATATATAAAAACCTTCCTCCTGTCATAGTCTGGTGCTTACCACAGGGCCCAAAGTCAAGTCCCTGCTTACCCACATATACCTCAAAATTTCGTGAGACCCAGACCTGGCCGGCCCACCCCCATTGGCTAGATCCAGACACAGCCAGTCCCAATCTTGTCAAGCCCTGCCAAGCAGAGGGTGTAGTCTCAGGCCCCCCAGCCCCAACCCGGGAGGGGGGTATGCCTTGAGGTCCTCTGTCAAGCCCCACCAGGTGGGGGACACAGCCTGTCAAGCCAGGCAGGGGAAGGGGCGCAGCCTCAGGTCCCCTGTCAAACCCTGCCAGGTGCTGTCTGAGGTCACCTGGCCTGGTGCAGGGGTGGGAGGTGCAGCCTGAAGTTCCCTGTCAAGCCCCACCTGGTGGGGGGCGTGGCCTCAGATCCTCTGGCCTGGCACTGGGGCTGGGGTTTGCAGCCTGAGGTCCTCCTGCCTGATGCCAGGGCAGGGGTCACCGCGTGAGGTCCCCTGTCAAGCTCTACGGGGGTGGGAGGGTGTAGCTCACGTCCCTGCTGATTGCTTGTTAAGGCTTCTTACGGGAACTTGGCCTCAGCTGTGGGTGCAGCCATCTTTGTGAAGGAGTGATGATCAATTAACATGTCCCCTGTTTATTAGATAGGATGAAAATGTTCAAAAATTGACTATAGTTGTTGATGGTTATATACATTTGTGTATATACCAAAAATCATTGAATTGTAAATGGTCAAAATTGTATGTAAGTTATATCTCTATAAAGCTATAAAAACCTTTTATTGTTTTAGTGGGGATTCGAAAGGATATGAGTAGACGGGTGTTTTCAAACTAGCATCTTACCTTCAAATCCTAAAATATGCTAAAATACTATTAATTGTAAGTTAGGCAATTAAGTCACTTACTTTGGAATGACGAATTCTGAAAAGGATTTCTTAGTTTAATGTTAAACAAATCTAGATTGCCCTCATTTTACATAAGAATTAGGATATAGTTAATTGGGATGCATTGGTCATTAAAATCTAACTAGGTTGAATCCTAGTTATTACTTGTGTCACTATGAGAGGAGAGGAACATATGGGATCTTTCTTTGTTTCTCTATCTGAAATGGGATTAAAAACCATCTGTCTCACAGTAATTGAGAACTAAGAGAGCTGGTATAATAGTAACTACTATTTACTGACCACCACCTGTGCACCCAATGCTTGCATTTTACACACATTCTCATTCAGTTTTTATAAAACCATGTGTTCTGCTGCTCATTACATTATTTCTAAAAGCTACCAGTGGAGAAATGAGATGTCTAGTAATAGGAGAATAGTTAAATTATGGTTTGACCAATTTTTCTATATAGAATATATGCAAATAGTGTTCTATAAAGCGTTTTTAAAAAATATATTTTTACTGATCTTTTTTATAGAGAGGAAGGGAGAGGGATAGAGAGTTACAAACATCGATGGGAGAGAAACATCCATCAGCTGCCTCATTCACAACCCCTACTGGGGATGTGCCCTCAACCAAGGTACATGCCCTTGATTGGAATTGAACCTGGGACCCTTGAGTCCACAGTTCGACAATCTATCCACTGAGCCAAACCAGTCAGGGCCACAAAGATTTTTTTTTTTTAAGTTATTTGAAAATTGCTTATCTTAGATAAAAGGGTTATATTTCATAATTTCAGATAAATGAAGAAAAATCTCTTGAAAACTATATGCTGCAGTATAATTTTACATTATCTTTATGATTAAAAAAACAACAATCCCTAGTCATTTACATTGAGTGTGTAACTTGATTATGGAAAATTTTATTCATACACAAAAGTAAAGTGTGATGAACTTGCATGCATTTCTTATATTTTTTTAAGATATATTTTTATTAATTTCAGAGAGGAAGGGAGAGGGAGAGAGAGAGAGACATCAATGATGAGAGAGAATTATTGATCAGCTGCCACCTGCACAGCCCACACTAGGGATTGAGCTGCAACCCAGGCTTGTGCCCTGACCGGAATCAAACCATCACCTCATGGTGCATTAGTCGATGCTCAATCATTCAGCTATGCTGGCCGGGCCATTTCTCATTTTCAACAGTAATTGACACATGGCCTATGTTGTTTTGTTTATATCTCTCTACATGTCCCCTTCCCCATCTCTGCAAGATTTTATAAAATTTCAGTATTTTATAAATTTCAGTATTTCAGTTTTCAGTACTGTGTGTGGGTATATACTAAACATATATATATATATAACAAATATATGTATACAACTAGAAAAAAAGTAGGGCTGGAATTAGAAATCTGAGGAATAGCTTACTGTAAACTTGTTAAGAACTATGTGCGCTTTGAACCCCATTTGGCACCATTGATATAAAAAGAATAAGGATATTGTAAAGCAATGAATTGTTATGCCTTAGCAGAATATTGAATATGTACACCTAAGATAAAACCTTTATGTTAAGATGAGTGAAGTGGTAATACTTATTTTCTCAGTAAGGGCAAGATACTAACACAGAAAAGATGCATTTTTATCTTGTTTGAGTTATTGCAGTATCTGTTGAAAGGGACTCAAAGTTTTTCTTCTAGAAACTAGATGAAATGATGCTATGCAGATACCTGAAATACATATTTTTATCTTAATTAGTTCAAGGAAGAAATCTCTAAACGGTTTAAATCGCATACTGACCAACTTGTGTTGATATTTGCTGGAAAAATTTTAAAAGATCAAGATACACTGAGTCAGCATGGAATTCATGACGGACTTACTGTTCACCTTGTCATCAAAACGCAAAACAGGTATGTTTTTAGATGCTTTAAACTATGAGTAAATGCTTTAGAAATAAAAGTCTTGGCTTTAAAGGGCTTTCTCTGTCATTAATTGAGTGGATTAAAATTCATATGATTTTAAGAAACACCATAATCCAGTAATGCAAATGCTTACACATTTGATATTTTATAACAGCATCGCCAACCTTTCAGACGTCACGGACCACCAGTGGTCCAAGGACCTCCGGTTGGTGACTGCTGTTTTAAGTTTCATTCATATTGAGCCATTATTTTTTAATTACAGATTTATCTCTTTTAGGTATGCTTTTTGTTTTAGAGAGATTTGGGAGAAAGATCAGGGTTGATTAGTTTCCTTGGCACAAATCTATAACCATATTTCATTAAGTCTATGGCACCATCAAATTTTTAAAAAACATATATTTTTTTAATTGATTTCAGAGGGGAAGGGAAAGTGAGAGAGAGAGAGAAACATCAGTGATGAGAGAGAATCATTGATTGGCTGCCTCCTGCATATCCCTCACTGGGGATTGAACCTGTAACCCGGGCATGTGCCCTTGACCGGAATCGAACCTAGGACCCTTCAGTCCACAGGCTGATACTCTATCCACTGAGCCAAACCAGTTAGGGTAGCGCCATCAATTTTTAAGAGGTACCTGTATTTTATGTATCACTGAGAAAAAATACTGCTCATTAAATATTTCTTCTCACTTAAAAATTTTATTTTATAACTACTAGTCAAAGAGCTCCTTTAGACTTACTCAGATATGGAATTTATCATATTACTCTTATGCATGCATACACACAAAGAAAATATACATGAAATAAATTGATTAAAGCCTTCCTATTACTACTTCATGTTGAGTCAGAGTCGAGTCACCCTTGGTCTCAGTTATCCGTTTCCATATTTTTCCATATGGGATGAAGCTCTACTCTCAGTCGAGTTGGTACAGCATTGTTCTTAAAAGAGTGCTACAGTATTTTCTCCAGGAATTTCTGTCAGGCCATTGATACCTATTCTGTAAATTTTTATTCTGGTTTTCCCTAACAGCAGATACTTGTTTCACTGATAAGAAATTCATTTCTTCTATTTCTGTTTCTGTGCTTTTCTGTTTGCACAAACTTCATTTTAGTATCAAGTAATGGTGTAATCTTTCTGAAGACACTATATATGGTAAATACAATCTGTGTGGTACAATATTATACTCAGTCACTCAGTTGAAGTTATATAGAACGTGTGTCCAGGCATAATAATTGTCTGTCAGCAATTGTAAGACAGATCCTGATTTCAAAGATGTAAAAATTTAAAAATGTGCATCTTGCCCTGGCTAGGTTAGCTCCATGTATAGAGCGTTGGCCTGCAGACTGAACGGTCCTAGGCTTGATTCTGGCCAAGGGCACATACCTGAGTTGCAGGCTTGATCCCCAATAGGGGATGTGCAGGAGGCAGCCAGTCAATGATTCTGCCTTATCATTGATGTTTCTATCTCTCACTCTCCCTTCCTCTCTAAAATCAATAAAATATATATTTTTAAAAATGTGCATCTTAGAATCAATTAAGGAAGCAGTGAGTGAGATTCAGAAATCTTAACTGGTATCAGAAGGAAGATATTTCTAATACATATTTTATTACTTAGTATTAAGTAATAATCAGTTATTGCTTGTATTGGTTTTTTAACCTTCTTTTGATGAAATCTTATTTTTTACTTTTAACAACTTCAAGAGTCTGAGAAAAACCCTTCCTCAACCCTCAAGAACATAGAAGGCTTTTAGATAAAAAATGCTTATATAGTTGAACTTTATGGCTGTGGTGGGTAGTTGGTTCTCTTCTGTGAGATGATCTATTTTCTTCTCTTACATAATCAATATGATTGAAAGTAATTAAATATTTATGTATATTATACTCAAGGAGGAGCAATTGAAGTATAGTTTGGTTTTTATAAGGTTTTACTGTTGTTGTTTTTTTCTCAAAAATATATTTTATTGATTTTTTTTACAGAGAGGAAGGGAGAGGGATAGAGAGTTAGAAACATCGATGAGAGAGAAACATCGATCAGCTGCCTCCTGCACACCTCCTGCTGGGGATGTGCCTGTAACCAAGGTATACGCCCCTGACCAGAATCGAGCCTGGGACCTTTTAGTCCACAGGCCAGTGCTCTATTCATTAAGCCAAACTGGTTAGGGCAGGTTTTACTATGTTCCTTTTTACATAGTTACATCAGAGTATTATTTCCTTTATGAAAATTTGAGTTGGTCTGAAAACTTATACTTTATAATGGTATCAGAATTTCAGAGATTCTTTTAAAAATAGTTCCACTGTTCACAGCATGAATTAATTATCTTTCCTAGGCCTCAGGATCATTCAGCCCAGCAAACAAATACTAGTGGAAGCAGTGTTACCACATCTTCAGCTCCTAATAGTAACTCTACATCTGGTTCTGCCCCTAGCAACCCTTTTGGTTTAGGTAAGTGTCTTTAATCATTTTCATAGGAATTGGGGGGAAAACCCAACTTCCTTTTCCCAGGGTAGTTTTTATAAAATGACCGAATTAGACATTAGACATAAAGTCACTTTAACAACAACATAAATTTCTATAGCTTCTGTAATTGCGGCAGCAGACGCAGGCGGGCTGGGATGAGCAGGAGGAGCAGACAGGAGTGGCAGGCAGTGTTAGATGCCAGTTTTGGCCCAATCCCTGCAGGCCATGCTGAGGAATATCACCAGGGCACAAATCCATACACTGGGCCTCTAGTATATAGGTAAACTTACTTAATTAGACCTGCTTTCTGATTTAGCTAAACTTTTTCCAGTCCATTGAAGCACCCAAACTTCTCTTTTAGATAATTGTTAACAACACAGCAATACATATCAACACAAAATAGATTACTATTTTAGATCATGCAGGGAGAACAAAGGATAAAATCTTTACCTATAGCAGTGTTTGACTATATATTGCACAGTGAGAAAAACCTGAAGTCATTTTCAAATTCCACCATTTCTTACCTTTTTTCAGTTGGGTTAAGTTTCTAAACTTTCCAAATCTCCATTGTCTTGCTAATGAAAAGAAAATAGGATTCTACTGAGTATCCTATCTACCTATTCCAGAACTTCTGTGAGGATCAAATGAGATGGGGCACGGGAAAATGCTTCACAAATATTTGGTTGAACTGTGAAATGTTTGCACCTGACTATAAAGCAAGTTGGGATCCTGGGCTGAAGAACTCCAAGGAGGCTAGTTGCTAGAGAGAGGAAGCCGGTGTTGCTATGTGATGTCATTACATGGCGCCCACAGCCATCATTTCGGGCTGGCCTGGCTGTGGGCTACATTTTGTGCCATGCGATCTTGGCAATGTTGTCTGCGATTTGGTGGGGTATCGCTCCTGAGTGGTGACGGGGCCTGTGTCCCACTATGGGGAAGCCGAGTGTTGGTTTGTTTGTGCCAGGCCTGTGATGCCATTTATTTTTAAACTAGAGGTCCAATGCACAAATTTGTGCACGGGCAGTGTCCCTCAGTGCAGCATGCACCCTCTACAATATGGATCCCCTTGAGGGTTGTCCAACTGCCTGTTAAGGCCCGATCTCATAGGCAATGCTGAGTAAGTGAGGAATGAATGCATTTGGTGGGTTGTGTAAATTTATAAAGTTCATGTGTTATGATAAGCAGTTATCATCCTCTTGGATCTATTGTTTCCCCATTATTTCATTCTATTGTATGTCCTGGCTTTTTCTCTCATTGATTGGCAGCAGCTCTGCAATATCAGAGTTTATAAGTAAATTGCAAAACATAAATTAGGTTTCTGCAAAGACATTGTTAGGAGTATAATCTAGTGCATATTTTTTATTTCTTTCTTCCATTAGCTGGCATATTCTGGGGTGTATTGTGTTTTTTTTTTTAACACCAACTAGTTTTTCAGCACCACATGGGTGTCCAATAGTTCAATTCTGATACTACCTACCTGATGTCAAATCCTGCAAGTTAAAGGGCTCAGATTGCTCCTACTTCAGATAATAGTCCAAGTTCCAGACCACATCTCCTTCTGACCAACAAGCTATATTGAAGATTCCCACAACCCATCCTCAGGTTTGATAATTTGCTAGAACAGCTCACAGAACTCTGGAAGACACTTTACTTATATTTACCAGTTTATTATAAAGGGTACAACTGAGAATTAGACAAATGGAAAAGAAGCATTGGGCAAGATATGGGGATTCGGGGACAATGCTGAGCTTCCATGTCACCCTAATAGCATGTAGATGTCTTCACCCACTTGGAGCCTCTCTAAACCTCATTGCTCAAGTGTTTTTATAGAGCTTAAACTCTAGCAACTTCTCCCCTGGAGGTTGGTGGCAATAGGAATTTTTCACCTTATAATCTTAAGGAACCAGTGTTTGTGTGTGTGTGTGTGGTGTGTGTGTGTGTGTATGTGTGTGTGTGTGTGTGTGTGTGTGTGTGTGTGTATATATATATATATATATATATATATATATATATATATAGTCCGTTGTTGACCAAAATAGCAGTTCTGTGACATGTGACTGTATAGTTTTATATTTGGAATGTATATTTGATAGCTTTATTACTTAAACCTAAATATGAGTGAATACATTTTTGGCTAATTTCGGTTATAGAAATTAAACTTGTATACTATATGAAATTAATAGGAATTATATTTTTGCTTTTATTGGTTTTCTGGATTGGACTATTGATTCAGTTAATACTTTTGCATCCTCATTTTGTTAATGTAACACAGTCTTGTTAATGATAAAAATTTCTGACTTTCATTTATGTGTTTTTTCCCCTTTATCCTCTTAGGTGCCCTTGGAGGTCTTGCTGGTCTAAGTAGTTTGGGTTTGAATTCTACCAACTTCTCTGAACTACAAAGCCAGATGCAGCGGCAACTAATGTCCAATCCTGAAATGATGGTCCAGATCATGGAGAATCCCTTTGTCCAGAGCATGCTTTCAAATCCTGACCTGATGAGGCAGTTAATTATGGCCAATCCACAAATGCAGCAGTTGATACAGAGAAATCCAGAAATTAGTCATATGCTGAATAACCCAGATATTATGAGACAAGTATGTGGAATGCTCTTTCAGTCAGTCCATTTAGCTAGGATCTATTTATTATTCAACTAGAGGCCAGGTGCACGAAAATCATGCACCTGGGGGGTGGGAGGAGGTCCCCTCAGCCCAGCCTGCGCCTCCAATCCAGGACCCCTTGAGGGATTGGGCCTAAACTGGCAGTCGGACATCCCTCACAATCCTGGACTGCTGGCTCCTAATAGCTCACCTTCCTGGTCGCCCCCAACTGCCCCACCCCCCCCCCCCCCCTTCGGGTCTGGTTGCCCCTCAGTAAACCTCCCGCCAGCCTGGTTGCAGGCAGCCATATTATGAGGGTGTGATGGTCAATTTGCATATCACCTCTATTACATATGATTATATTATACCTTAAAGAGCTTATCCTATATGTATGGCTAAGCTAAAAAAGGAAATCCTAATCTTCAGTAAAATTCAACAAAGCACTAATTTGGACTATTTGAACTTTGTATTTTTTGCTATATTTTAAAGGTCTTTATAAATAATTACCCTGCAGATTTAAGAAACAAGAATTCAGTTCAGGAGAGGGGCATTCACTTATAACACAGTACTTCTTTAATTATTTGAATATTAGCTTGCTTTTTGAGGTGAAATCCAATAGGAATTATTTAAAATAGGTTTCCGATTTATATATTGAATGATAATTCATAGGATTAGAAAACTTGAAAAAATTAGCTGTGGCATTTAACAAAGTAATTTGTGTATGTTTTAGTGCCTTTTTTTGTTTAATGGAAATCTTCTCTGTAGACATTGGAACTTGCCAGGAATCCAGCAATGATGCAGGAAATGATGAGAAACCAGGACCGAGCCTTGAGTAATCTGGAAAGCATTCCAGGGGGATACAATGCTTTACGGCGCATGTACACAGATATTCAGGAACCAATGCTGAGTGCTGCACAAGAACAGGTGATAACGCTGGCTCTGAGGCTCAGGCTAAGTGATAGCTCCTGTTTTAACACAAATATGTTTGTGATTGAGAGCTACCTTTACATGGGGAATGTGATTTTCATTAAAAAGTTTTGTATCTGGCCCCGGTTAAAACATTTGGTTAGAACATTTTCCTGATATGCCAAGGTTGTGGGTTTAATCCCTGATTAGGGCACATATAAGAATCAACCAATGAATACACAAATAAGTGAAACATATTGTTATTTCTTTCTCTTCTCTGTCTCTTGAAGTTAAAAAATGTCTGTTATTTAAAACAAAAGCTCTTTAAAACCCGTTTTGTTTTTTTTGTTTTTTTTTAATTACAGTTTGGTGGTAATCCATTTGCTTCCTTAGTGAGCAATCCATCCTCAGGTGAAGGTAGTCAACCTTCCCGTACAGAAAATAGAGATCCATTACCCAATCCATGGGCTCCACAGGCTTCTCAGAGTTCAACAGCTACCAGTGGCACCACCAACGCTGTGGGGGGCACTGGTGGTAGTACTGCAAGCAGCACTGCTGGGCCGACTTCTGCACCAAGTTTGGGGCCTGGCGTAGGAGGTATGTTGACACTTTTTTTTGTCCTTATTTGAATAAAAAAAACTTTTCTTATTGCTGTTATTCTTTGTGCTTTTGTGTGTGTATAACAAGTAGCTTTTCTAAATATATTTTATTGATTTTGTACAGAGAGGAAGGGAGAGAGATAGAGAGTTAGAAACATCGATGAGAGAGAGTCATCGATCAGTTGCCTCTTGCACACCCCCTACTGGGGATATGCCCGCAACCAAGGTACATGCCCTTGACCGGAATCGAACCCGGGTCCCTTCAGTCCCCAAGTCGATGCTCTATCCATTGAGCTAAACCGGTCTCGGCATAACAAGTAGCTTTTCATGTAAGGTTTTTTTGGGGGGCAGTTTAGGAAAGTTTTAAATATATAATGATTAGTTGTGTGCAGTATAGTAGTGAGAATTATTGAGGATTTCCAGAGGCAGTTTTATATTAGCATTCTCAGAAGATGGTTTGGAGAAGTAGATGGTTAGTTGTCTCATTTCACTAGTATGAAAACTGAAGTGCCTAGGTGATATAATTACTTATGTATTCATTATTAGAGCACATGTTTCCTGGCTTTAGTCTGATTTTACATTCTAGATCAGTAGATTGTCAAAATCTAGTCCCGAGACCAGAGCACCTTGCCAAGTTTGTTAAAAATGAGTATCCCAGATTTTTTAAAAAAATATATATTTTATTGATTTTTTACAGAGAGGAAGAGAAAGGGATAGAGAGTTAGAAACATCGATGAGAGAGAATCATCGATCAGCTGCCTCTTGCACACCCCCTACTGGAGATGTGCCCGCAACCAAGGTACATGCCCTTGATCAGAATCGAACCTGGGACCTCTCAGTCCACAGGCTGATGCTCTATCCACTGAGCCAACCGGTTTCGGCGAATTTCCCAGATCTTAATCTTAGACCTTCCACAGCGGGTCTAAGATTAATGTATAATATAAAGCTGCTGGAGAATCTAGTGTGTGAAAAGGTTAGGAATTTACTTTTGATTATTTTTTCTGTAGACTAAATAAATGGATGTCCTTTTCTCAACTGTTCAGATATTTACATGGTAAGATTAGGTCTACTAACATCAGTAGCCAGAATAATGTTTTTAGTCCTAATACTTGGCATATAAATGAGAAGAAATGAAAGCACGGGGCCACTTCCCTAAGATGAGAGGGACTGGATATAATTTAAAACAGCGGTCAGCAACCCGTGGTCCGAGACACTGGTGATCCATGAGGTCCAAAAGGTTGGCGACCCCTTATTTAAAAGATCCCTGTGTCTTAGCAGAGGAAATGCACAGGTGAGATGCTGGATGAAGAATTTTAAAAATTCATTAATGAGGGAAGAAGTCAGTATAGGGAAAGTAATTGGTGGTCACAGTGGTAATATACAGGGGCTAACATTTCTGGATGTAATACGGGTTTTATAAAAATTGAAGTAATAACCATTTTTAAAAATTGAGGTATAATTGACATAACAAGTTTCAGATGTACAATGTAATGATTCAATATCTGTATATTATAAAATGATTGTTGAATAAATCTAGTTAATAGCTGAAGTAATAACCATTTTACATTTTTAAAAAAAAAGTCATATGTTCTGTATTTTACTTACTGCCTATTTGATTTTTATTAACAGTGTTTTGAGAGGGTTACTTTATTCACATTTTAATGGTTTTAGAGCCGACAGCAACAATTTAATCAGATTTCTACTATAGCATGGTTTTATACAGAAATAGCTTTTGTCTAACAAAAAAATCAGTTTAGCAACTTTTTACTCAGTTTTTTTTTTTTTTTTTTTTTTTTTTAATGTAATGGCTTGATACTCTATTTAAAAGCAGTGGTACAAATTTTTTTTGTAAAGGACCTTTTTCCAGGTCAAGAGGCAAAATGGAGAATACTACAGTATGAGAGAAAACAAATTTTTGGAATATTTTTTAAATGATGGAGTTAAAACTACAATAATTGGGTATACTATTTTTTCATATATATTTACAAGTGATAGGAATAGAATTCCTTTTTAGGGATGACATTTACTTCTTTGGCATTCACACAATTTCCTTTTGGCAGAATCAACTACAAATGTTCATCTGTTAATACTGATATATAATGAGGCTTTACTTATTTCACTCAAATATAGTCCTTTGGCATCACAGAGGATTGGTTTTAGGACCCTCTGTGGATACCAAAATTCATAGATGCTCAAGTCACTTATATAATGTGGCATACTATTTGCAAATAACCTATATTTACATATAGGGTATGCCTGAACATCACCTCATTCACATTGATTGATCATAGTTCTTGGTGCATGACAAATTTAAGTTTTGCTTTGAGGAAATTTTGGGGAACCCCCCCGAATATTTTCGATTTGTGGTTGGTTTAATCTGCAGATTCAAAACCCTCAAATACAGAAGCCTAACTACATTCCAGAAGCATATTATTTGAACAGCATATTCATCAGTTAGAAATCATTTATAGGATTTTTCTTTGCTTTTAGCATGTCATGAAGATTACTCACTTCTAATCAAAGGTTAGGTGTGCTAGTCCTCAATTACAGGTAAATGAATTTTGAAATGGTGGAAGTATTCTTTGCACTTATTCTGAGGTCCCCAAAAAATGCTGCTGGAGCACATTAACAAATTTAATTGTCACTGCCACTCTATGAAGTAGATAGTATTTACCTCATTTTTACAGGTGGGGAAACTAAAATATGAAGAAGCCAAATAATTTGGCCAGGGTTACATAATTAGCTTAGACTTGTATATTGGTAATCTTACTCTAGACATGACCCTTAGTCACTGTGTTCTCTGATCTCTGAAATGTTAAATGTATCTGCCATTTTGATCAATGAGTGCCAGTACTCGGTGAAAATGGAATGGAGTCCCATCTATCATTTTGTTGGTGGGAAAGCTTCCTTCTTACTAATTGTGAGCATATTGAGTGCTCAATATGATTCTAGTTAAGTGATCCTGGTGGAACCGAACAGTTGGCTCAGACTTCTTCACTTTATGGGATTTTTCAATAGTAATTTTGACCATAACTAACTTTTACTTAAATGAACTATGGAACTTAACCTTTCCATTAGATGTGATTCTACAGTGAAGGCAACCGAAATGTTTAAAATCCATAACTCATCCTTTATTGGTATATATTTAGCATGTAGTATTGGAGATCTTAGTTTTAAAATTCTTTATTAGTTCAATTGTTAAGTAATACGTCTTCTCAACAGTAATTGCTAAAATGCACAGTGTATATGATATTGTTTTAAAAATTTTACTTTTGTCTACATATCTTTTCCTTGATACAATGTGATCTGTTTTATTAAACTTTCAGCTAGTATGTTCAACACACCAGGAATGCAGAGCTTGTTGCAGCAAATAACTGAAAACCCACAGCTTATGCAAAACATGTTGTCTGCCCCTTACATGAGAAGCATGATGCAGTCACTAAGCCAGAATCCTGACCTTGCTGCACAGGTGAGTTTATAATTGTATTGAAAAGGACTGTGCAGTGTGAATTGAAATAGCCTGGTCAAATAATTGTGATTTTTTTTGTGTGTTGTGTGCTACCTTAACACACTAGAAAAGTAGGTAAAGTGCATCTACTTTTTTGGATAGTCTTTTGCAGCTTCACCTTGGCGACTCACTGACTAGAAGTGCAAGTTTACTATCTATCTATCTATCTATCTATCTATCTTTATGTTGATTTAGGAAAAGAATACAAAAGTTTTGGATTGCTTCCTTTTGTGAAATGTTAAGTCTTGAAAGTAGTTAAGAACAGTGTTAATACACTTGAAATACTTTTATTTATTAGATCACATAGATTATGAGTAATGATTATTTTCAGTGGCTGTTATAAAATAGCTTTAAACTGTTTATTAAAGGCAGAGAGATTTGTGGGAATGGTGTTGTCATTCTTTCCATTATGAATCTCTTCCTTTCCCCTCCACTCCCCCAACAACACCAAGTTTGTATACTTGGTCCTTTATTCATTTTTTTAACTTGTTACTAAAGAGGCCATAATGAAAAAAGTTAGTGGATCTCCACCCTAGTTGAATATTTAGGATCACCTTGGGAACATCCCATCCTGAGAAATTTTGGTATAACCTGCATTGGATCTTTTTGTTTAACCATTATATTCCCTAGATGATTCTGATGTACCCCTAGATTAAGAACTTGGAAAATTTTGAGACTATTAAACAAGACTTGATCACCTGTAGATTATATTTCCTATTTTTTAAAAACAGCCTTGTAGAATAGTGGAAATTTGAAATAGTTTTCTTTATAGTTTATTTCCATTTCTAAAACTGGAAGCTTTAAAGATAATTACTTTCATCATCATGTCAAATGAAGAGGTTTTTATTTCCTAAAGTCTGCAGTCTTAATTGATTCAAGTATATAGTAGATATCTTTGAGCTATAATCTTTAGCAATAACTTCTGCCCTCTTTAAATTTGTGGAATTAGAAATAGAGAACATGGGATGAATTTTTATATACTCCTAATTTTGTATAATGTAGGTATATTTTATAAAGTATTGTTTTATTCATATGCAAATTGCCAAACTGAATATATAAGTATTAAATGCCACACTTTACTGTAATTTTGCACTTAAAAAAAGTGGAATTATGTATGTAAAATGATACTGTTTGTGTTTTTAAATGTATATTTGATTAATAATTAACATTGAATATACATTTTGCTTTAAAATTTTAACTTTAACAGGCACATTCCCAGCTATTTGTACTAATAATTCTACATTTATAAAATGACTTGAGCACTTTCCTCTACTGTATTTTTACTTAAAAGCAAAATGTTGACAAAGACAAAAGATATGGATGTCTTTTATAATAGATAATTTAGGAACATTTATCATATACTCTGGTTATTAAAGTTTGTACTTCCCTATTCTAATTTTGATTTTTAGATATTTTTTAAAAGTCAGAGTATAAAAAATATATAAACATGTAAGTTAGGAGAAAATATCAAATGAGATATGATTTTCTGAGAAAGAATAAGTTTAAGGTGATATGCTTTTTCCAATAACATGAAATTCTGGAAGATAAATATGATAACTTCATTAATCCTCCTATCTAATAAAAGAGAAACATGCAAATTGACCTTACCTCTGCTGTGCCTACAAGCCAATCAGGAGCGAGTATGCAAATTAACTCAACAAATATGGCAGCGCCATGGAGCTGGAGCAAGCGGGTGGCTTGGGTTGCCCTCAACGATGGAAGAAATCAAGCTTCCCACTGGCCCTGCCCAGCCCTGGCCTCTGCTAAAGTCTACAAAGTTTCAATTATAGAAGATATATAAATCCCAAATACCATGTCTTCCACTTGGGTTGCTATGGGGTGTGGCTGGCCTGCAAACCACCACAAGCCCCTTGCCCAGGCCGCCCCACACCGAAGGGAATGCCCACCCTGATCCGAGACACCCTTAAGGGCAAACCAGCCAGCCCCCACGTGTGCAGCAGGTCTCTGTCCTAATAAAAGAGTAATATGCAAATTGATCATCACTCCAGCACACAAGATGGCTGCCCACCATGTGGGCATAAGATGGCTGCCATAAGATGGCCAGCAGGGGAGGGCAGTTGGGGGTGGCCAGGCCTGCAGGGGAGGGCAGTTAGGGTGATCAGGCCTGCAGCAGAGGGCAACTAGGGAAAATCAGGCTGGCAGAGGAGCAGTTGGGCATTAATCAAGCTGGCAGGGGAGTGCTTAGGGGATGATCAGGCTGGCAGGCAGAGGCAGTTTTTGGCAATCAGGAAGGCAGGCAGGCTAGCAGTTGGGAGCCAGCAGTCCTGGATTGTTAGAGGGACATCCAATTGCTCCGTTAAGCCTGATCCCATTGGTATCTGGCCTAAACAGGCAGTCGGACATCCCTTGAGGGGCCCCAGATTGGAGAGAGGTGCCAGCTGGACTGAGGGATACCTTCCCACCCCTGTGCCCGAATTTCATGCACTGAGCCTCTAGTATGTTTATAATTAAGTATTTGACTGGAGCCAATAAAGAAACAGGTTTGTTGATCTTTAACAAGAATTACTTTATTTACTATGAATTTATTGGTCACTTTGAAATAAATTTTACTTATCCATAAAATATCAACTTCTTCCTGTTTTTTATATTATATATATATTTTAGAGAGTTTTAAAAAAATATATTTTTATTAATTTTAGAGCAGAAAAGAGGGAGAGAGGGAGGGAGAAGAAAGAGAGACAGAGAGATAGAGAAACATCAATGATGAGAGACATTCATTGATTGGCTGCATCTTGCACGCCCCCTACTGAGGATCGAACCCACAACCTGGGCATGTGCCCTTGACCAGAATCGAACCCAGGACCCTTCAGTTTGCAGGCCAATGCTATATCTACTCAGCCATACCTGCTAGAGCATGTTTTATATACTTTTTAAAAAAATTACCTAATCCACTTTGCAACAATAGATTAGCTAAAGGAGGAAGAGAGGAATTCTCTCTACTTCCAACATTTACATACCGTATAATTATTTCAAATATGAGTGAGTAGTTGAGGGCAAGGATCATTTCCACTTTAGGCCAGTAACTAGACTAACTAAATGTATATTTAGATATTTAAATTACAGTAAGTTAATTTTAGTTGATTCTTCACTCTGAGGGAAAACTGATACAAAAGTTGTCTTTTTAAAATTATGAGAGTTTAGTTGTTTCTGGTTATTCTGATTATGTATTATAATTTTCAGGTATGTAGCATCATGTAGCATCATGTTAATATTGACCCTGACTTTATAATTTTAATACCTATTTGAAGGTTAGGCAACATGATACTTTTCTCTGGTAATGGTGAGGTGAAATTCAGAGGCTAATCTTGGTGTTCTCAAATGGATTTACATCTTTCAGGTCTTAAAGTATTTTAATACTTTCCTCACAGATCTGTTGATGCTAGTCCTGGGCTCATTTTCACCTAACAGCCCCTTTTCTCTGGCAAGGTAGTTGCTGTTCTGTGCTGTTATTTTTCTGGATCTGATATCAGCTGTTTTATAATAGGCAAGTGGATATAGTGGTTCCAGATCTGGATTTTTCTCTGTGCTTGCCACTTGTGTGTTGAGGTATCTAAGCAAGCCAAGTATAGTTTCCTGTATTGTTTATTCTGTCAGTGTAGCAGAAAATGTATCCTTATGAATGCCAGATACTCCCATTTTTCTTTCAAGAGCAGATATTCATCTTTGCTCAAAGAACAGCTTACGAATGATTGCTTTTAATTTTTAGGATATTGCATGTCATTATCATTATCATCAATCTCATTGAGAGAGAAGATGCCTTTTGTTTTTTCCTGAAGATCATTCTTGTGGACAGTATCTTCCCTTCCTTTTTTATTCATGTTCTACCTTCCCCTTTTTAAGTGCCAAGTTAGGCACTTGGGGGAAGACAGACTATTAAACAAGGTACATTACTTGTTTCAATTATTTCCAGTTAAAATTGTTTGAACACTTGCCCCATAGATGATGCTGAATAATCCCCTATTTGCTGGAAATCCTCAGCTTCAAGAACAAATGAGACAACAGCTCCCAACTTTCCTCCAACAAGTGAGTAAGAAAAGATGCTAGCTATCTTCAGTAATGGTTTGCTTGAAAAAGTTTGTCGATAAACTTTTTTTTTGCTCTTTGGTTGATAGCAAAACAGAATAAAGTCTGATAATGCTATCATTTCAAAGAGAATTCAGCTTGATCTTACCCAAGCCCCATTTTATTGCTGATACTTTGTTTTTTGCTTGTATTTCTTTTTTTTAAAAAAAATATATTTTTAAAGTTTATTTCAGAGAGGAGGGGAGAGGGCAAGATAGAAACATTAATGATGAGAGAGAATCATCGATCGGCTGCCTTCTGCACGTCCCCTCCTGGGGACCCAGTCCGCAACCCCGGCATGTGCCCCTGACCGGAATCGAACTCGGAACCCTTCCGTCTGCAGGCCAGCTGTGCCAAACCAGCTAGTCTGCTTGATTTCTTAAACAAATTCTGAGGAAAGGACCATTTTGTTTTTGCTTTTGAGAATTTAGGATTTTGAATGCTTTGTTTATGCATTAACCATTTTCTTTCACTATACTAACTTTGAAGTGCTTCATTATGTCATGTTATACATTAACTATTCTTTAGTAATTGGAAAGAGCTACCATATCCTATTTTGCAGGTTTGTTTTCTTTGTAAAGTTTTAATTCCTCCAAATTAATAGAATGCCTGTTATTCAAGAGGTAAATCTCATTTCCCCAAACTCGGAATTAGCAGGATTAAAATTGTCATTGTTGTCATATAAGGAAGATTTTTTATTATTGAAACGTATTTGAGATTGCCATGGTATTTTATTACTTACAAAGATAGAAAAGAAGTCAGTCTTGGTGTTATGAAGTTATTTAGTCTTTGCAGTTCTCTGCTGTTAAATATTATGTAAATGATTCTCAGGGATGTAAAACCTTATCCAAGATTCGTTAATGCTCTTGATCTGTTGTAATGGATGCAAGCCTATCTATGTTGGTTAGTCAGGTGGTGTATATTTGGAAGTAGTGAAGCTGAACTCAGGACTTATGTGTTAACTTCAAATTTGGAACTTGTTTTAGAGTGTAGTTTACTGGAAAATTGTTACATCAGCAACAGGTAACACTTGGTCTGGAGGAATATGTGGTTTTCACCATATTACCATGTTATGTTAGTTGTCTCTTAGAAATAAAATTTTCATCTGTTGTAGAAAGAGAACAGATGTGGCTTCCAGAGGAGCTCCTAATTGTCTTTTATTATGAAAAATTAGTTTTCATGATGGATTTGGGAAGAGATCTAGTAAAAATGTGCACACAAGGTTTGCTATCAGAGAGGAAGGTGCTTGTATTTATTTTAGGAAAGAAATTATGGATTACCAATGTCTTAACAATATGGTTTCTTTTCTCCAAAAACATAGTGAAGAAAACGTTTAAATTTTACCTTCACTGATTGTAATCCCTCAATAACCACTGGTTTTCTTTATTTTTTAGATGCAGAATCCTGATACGTTATCGGCAATGTCAAACCCTAGAGCAATGCAGGCTTTATTGCAGATTCAGCAGGGTTTGCAGACATTAGCAACGGAAGCACCCGGCCTCATCCCAGGGTAGGCTTATTTGGGAAAGATCACAAAAGTGTATATTACTTTCTCTCTTGGAGAATATTAGGCTTAATATCATTTTGCCTTTTTTTGTTGTTGAGATAGTTTTTTATTTTTTTAATACAATTTGTAGTGATTTTTTTAGAGAAAAAAAGTCAATGTGAGGGAGAAACAGTGATTGGCTGCCTCCTACTGGGGATCGAGCCCCAAATCCTGGCATACGCCCTGGCTGGGTGTCAAACTTCAGATCCTTTGGTGCATGGAACAATGCTCAAACAACTCAGCCATACAGGCCAGGACTGCTGAGATTATTTTCAAGACAGAGCTTTCAAAGTTAAAAAAAAGCTCTTATTTAGAGAGTACAACTTGGCTACTATTATGTTAAAATGTGACTGATTTATTACCAACTGCCCTGGTCTGGCCTCTTGTATGAAATAGACATATATGTCCTATATGTCCAGGAATATAGGTTTACTACCAATTTGTGCTTTCCCTAGCCTTACTCCTGGCCTGGGGACATTAGGAAGCACTGGAGGCTCTTCAGGAACCAATGGCTCTAGCTCTGCCCCTAGTGAAAACCCAAGACCCACGGAAGGAACCACGGAACCTGGACACCCGCAGTTTATCCAACAAATGCTGCAGGCTCTTGCTGCAGTAAATCCTCAGGTAGTGATTTTTTTTGCTGACACTTTACATTCCTTAATGTTAGAAATCCCCTTCCCCTCTCAAAAGAAAATGGAAAGAAAGTGGCAGTCTTTTAGGGTTCAGATTATAACCTGAAGTACAATCTTAAGAATATATATTCTAAAGCAGGCCTTTCAAAAATTGTTAACATTGATACTATATTAGACACTAAAAAAAACATTTTAGTTGTAGAGAAGAAATATTAAAACTTTGTCTTATTTTTTAGAAGATGTCTTTAAAAATGCATTCTTTTTTTTTTTGTAATCCCTATTTGAAAATTATTTAAATATATTAATTTTATAAAAGTTAGAGTGGAATAAGGAACGTGGTTATCCCAAATAATTTCTTGAACAACTATAATCTATCTAGTTTTTGTATTTTGATTTAAAATAAATCCTCCTAGTCAAGATGGCAGCATAGGTGAACATGGTACTCACTACCTTCCACTACCACATCAAAATCACAGTTAAAATACAGAATAATCATCATACAGAACCACCTGAAATCTAGCTGAGAGAAGTACTACAACTACGGAATTAAAGAAGAAGCCCATGAAGACTGCTGGGAGAGGTAGCCACCTGGAGCAGAATCACAGCACTGGCTGGTCCCATACCCACGTGTAGTTTAAAATCAGGAGGGATATCTTGGCACAGCTGCTCTTCCACTGTAGTAGCAGCTACAGCTCAGGTCCTCCCAAGTGATGGCCTGAGGCTCAACCCCTCTGAGTGACACCAACATAAATCAAGGCTCAACTACAATAGGACAGTGCACAGAGCTCAGATGGACACACCTAAAGTGCCCAGCTAAGAAGACTGCAGAGGCCGAGCCATTGTGCCTTATAGGGCACCACTACCCAAGGCAACTCTATCAAGTGTGGCAGACATAGCATATCTAATACATAGAAACAAACACAGGGAAGCAACCAAAATGCAGAGACAAAGAACAGAAGAAATCTCCTGAAAAAGAACTAAATGATGGAAGCAAGAAAACTATTAGGTACAGAGTTCAAAACACTGGTTATAAGATGCTCAAGGAACTTTCTGAGAAATTTAAGGAACTTAGAACAACAATGTAAAAAAAGGATCAGTTAGGAATGAAGGATACACTAAAATAAAAAATAATTTACAGAGGATCAACAGTAGAGTAAGCCTACTGAGAATCAAAATTAAGAATTTGGAACATAAGGAAACAACATTCAATCAGAACAGAAAAAAGAAAATGTAAGGAGCCCCTGGGATAACTTCAAGCATATCAACATTTGTATCAAGGGGTGCTGGAAGAAGAGCAGGATTAGGAAATTGAAAAAGTAATGACAGAAAACTTCCCTTACCTGGTGAAAGAAATAGACATACAAATTCCAGGAAGCATAGAGTTCTAAACAAGATGAACCCAAAGAGGTTCACCCTAAGACACATCATAATTAAAATGCCAAAGGTTAAAGACAAAGAGAAAATATTAAAAGCAGCAATAGAAAAGGAGTTAGTTACCTACAAGAGGGTGCCCATACGTCAGTAGATTTCTCAACAGAAACTTTGCAGGCCAGAAAGAAATGGCAAGATATATTCAAAGTGATGAAAAGCAAGGACCTACAACCGAGATTACTCTACCCAGCTAAACTGTCATTTAGAATGGAAGGTCGGTCAGAGTTTCCTGGACAAGGATAAGCTAAAGGGGTTCAAACTAGTATTACATGAAATGTTAAAGGGTCTTCTTAAAGAAGAGATTAAAAAGTGTGAACAATAAAATGACAAATATCAACAGTTGAATCTAAAAATTAACATAAATGAACAAGCAAAACAGAAACATATATATATATAGAAAGAGGACATTTTGACAGATGGGAAGGGGGATGAGTGAAAAGGTAAAGGGATTGAGAATACAAACTAGTTATAGTGTAGTCATAGGGGTGTAAAGTACAGCATAGGGAATAACTATATATGGTGTTAGATGGGTGTGAGATTTTCCAGAATGATCATTTTTTTTATTATGTCTGATCACTGGAGTGTACACCTGAAACTAATATTGTATGTCCACTGCAATTGAAAAAATTTAAAAAAATTAAAAAGCATCCTACCTCACTACCATGTTTCCCCGAAAATAAGACATCCTCCAAAAATAAGACCTAGCGCATAGAAAGATAAGACATCCCCTGAAAATAAGACCTAGCGCAACTTTGGGAGAAAAAATTAATATAAGACACTGTCTTATTTTTGGGAAAACGGTACTACCTCCTCTAGTAAGTTGATGTTACATGAATATACCTCACAAATATGGCTAAAAAATTTGGGCTTGTAAAATGTTCTTGTATATGGAAGTATTTATTGGCTTAACAAAGATGATTATAGTTCAAATCTGGCATGGTAGGTTGCCTCCAAACTTCTGCCTGGCAAAAATATAGCATGCTTTCTGATTTTCAAGTTTTATTAAATACAATAAACTTGGCAGGGTTTTATCTAACACAAGAATTTGTATCCTCAGTATCTTGCATAGCTCTGGCTCAGTAAAAATTCATGAACTTAATAAGAAAAAAGGTTTTAGCTGTTGGAGAGAGTTATTATATAAGTTGAATAATCTATAGGCTTCCCCATTATCAGGTTGGCCAGGGTTGATTAATCATTTATGTATTTTTGTCTTAACCTCATTTCTGAAGAAAGATATGACACAGCTGAATTGTCAGAAATATAATCTATGGGCCTGAAACTGGAACTCTTTTCTGAAGACTTTGGCTAGTACAGAAATAAGCTCATTAGGATTTTAGAATTTTATATAGAAGGACATGGCTTTTATAATTACCCAGTTGGCCGAAGCCGGTTTGGCTCAGTGGTAGAGCATCGGTCTGCGGACTGAAGGGTCCCAGGTTCGATTCCGGTCAAGGGCATGTACCTTGGTTGCGGGCACATCCCTGGTAGGGGTTGTGCAAGAGGCAGCTGGGCGATGTTTCTCTCTCATCGACGTTTCTAGCTCTCTATCTCTCTCCCTTTCTCTCTGTTAAAAATCAATAAAATATATTTTAAAAAATAATAATAATTACCCAGTTGGTCAATAGCTACAAAATAAGTAATCTAATTCTATACTACTTGCATATTAGATTTCTATTTATGAGCTTCTTAAATATATGTAAAATAATGGTTGAGGTTTATTTAAAAAATTTTATGTATGTGATCTATTTTACATGATTGTTTAGGTATAAATTAGCAAAATAAAGTGCTAGTGGTCTTTTAAATATGTTGAACATGTTTCAAGAGAGCCCAGTGCTTTTGCAGCTCAGGCTTTTGGTTAATTTTTTTTTCCTTGACAGCTACAGAGTCCAGAAGTCAGATTTCAGCAACAACTGGAACAACTCAGTGCAATGGGGTTTTTGAACCGTGAAGCAAACTTGCAAGCTCTGATAGCAACAGGAGGCGATATCAATGCAGCTATTGAAAGATTACTGGGCTCCCAGCCATCATAGCAGCATTTCTGTATCTTGAAAAAAATGTAATTTATTTTTGATAACGGCTCTTAAATCTTTAAAATACTTGCTTTATTTCATTTTGACTTTTGAAATTCTGTGCTGTTATAAAAAAACCCAATATGATGCATTTTAAGGTGGAGTACAGTAAGATAATGTGGGTTTCTCTGTGTGTTTTTTTTTTCCTTGTGGAACAATGGGAATCAATGCTTTTTCATTTAAGGCTACTGCATGCATCAAACACTTCTGCATTTATTGTAATTTAAAAACAAACAAACATCACCTTTTGTAGTGGGTGAACAGATTTTTGTCCTGCATCTGTCCAATTTATTTGCTTTTTAAACATTAGCCTATGGTAGTAATTTATGTAGAATAAAAGCATTAAAAGAAGCAAATCATTTGCACTCTATAATTTGTGGTTACAATATTGCTTATTGTGACTTTGGCATGTATTTTTGCAAACAAAATGCTGTAAGATTTACACTACTGAGTTTTACTTTATTTGTATACAATATATTATGCACATTTGGGAATGCATTTCTAGAAACATACAGCAGTAGATTGATTACCTTGAGCAAAAACACTTATAACTAAAAAAGTTAAGATAAGGAAATACTTTCAAGTTAAGTATTTTCTAATTGTGTAGAATCTTACAGCATCTTTGAAAAACATCTTTCAGCAAAAGTGCCAGTTAGGTTTGTTGACTTACTTAGTAGAAAAGCTGATTCTGGTTATCTCTTTAAAGACATTTAATTGTACAGACAACATAATGTAACATTGTCTCAACATTCACTGATTAATTGTAAATTACCTTCATTTTTGTGCAGACTGAAGGAGCACTGTAATAATAACTCAAAAGTGCATTTGCCTACGACTTTTCAGCTTCTCCCATAGATAGTTTAACAGGCATTACAGTTTGTAATTGAAATGTTGCTTTCACTGAAAGTGTCTTGATGTTTCAATTATTTTTAATCGCCATATAAAAATAGATCTATCTTTTGGGTTTATCAGATTTCTCATGCACAGGCAATACATGAATTTAAAATGATTTGTGAGCTACTTGTTTCTGAAGTGTTTCGGTAGTTTATTAAGAAATAGGTAAATATTGTGCTTTTCAGAGCCTCAGAGAGAGGGGAACTTGGGGGAGGGGGTGGGATCTATCCTGGAGTGGGCCAGCCTAAATAATACTGGTAACCAAGGTTCTGTTAGGATTTCTGTGCATATAATGTAGTAAACAGGTATCATTCAGGGGTGATAAACAAGAGCCGTTTTAACAATGTTGAGTACATTTGGCTGTTCTACAGCCTTTTTCTTTCCTCCTCAGAGAAGTTCTGTTTGCCTAACTCTCAAATTGTTGGTGTGGTACATTCCTTTAGGACCAATTAAACATAACTTTGGGTCAGTAATATATTTGGCTGACTCTGGTTCAGTATTCTCTTAGGTCATTATAGTCTCATGTACAGGAAATTAAAATGTTAAAGTTACCTAAAATGAGTTCAGACCAATAAAATCAAAGGAAATACGAGTTGAATTGCATTACTTCTGTAAGTTGCTTGCTTTAAAAAAGGGTCAAGAGGTCAGGTTGCCCACCAGCCATGCACTGTGCTGACACTTTCCCCAGGAGCAAAACTTGTATGAAGGTCAAGGTGGGAGGCATGGCCAGAGGAAGTTGTTTAGGATTACTCATGTGTCTTTGCTCTCTCTGCCTTATGCCTCAGTCTGGTTTAAAAACTTGTACTGGCAAATGGTGGTATACAGAGTGGGATAGTGTCATAACCAGTTTGACAGTTATTAATCATAAAATAATAAATCTCTAGCTTTTACACTTGGTTTGTCTTGCCTCTTTTGTAGAAAAAAAATGTCTTTTCTTTCTTTGACTATGTATTTTAAAGACTTGATTTACCTCAGATTTTATAATGTTTTAGATCATTCTTTATTAATTTTTAAAGTTTCTTTAGTTAAAACATGTCCATATACTGTACTGGAATGTTAGGTGACCTGGACGCTGCTGCTTTTTTTGGTACCCGGTTATTGACTGAGTAAAGGCATCATGATTTCTTTGTTATAAAAATGGCGATGGGGCCTATGTGGACTGGTGATCTCTCCAGTACCTTTTAGCTGCTGCAGTGATATGATTTTGCTTGTTTCTTTGGTGGTTGTTAATCCTCCCTGAGGATATTTTTTCCATTAATTTTTTTTTTTTTTTTGAGTGGAAGGGAGGGGGTTAAGACAGAGAGAAACACCAATGTGAGAGAGAGACATGAATTGATTGCCTCCCACATAAAGGCTTAAAGCATTAAAAAAAAAAACACACCTTAAAATACTGTAGGCTTCAGTTGTTCTCATATTGGATTATTACAAATTAAATGAAGAATGGAGTGGTGAGCCTAGCTGGTGTGGCTCCATGGATGAGCGTCAACCTATGCACAGGAGGTCATGGCTCGATTCCTGGTCAGGGCACATGCCTGATTGTGGTCTTGGTCCACAGTGCGGAACATGCTGGAAATAGCCAATAAATTATTTTCTCTTATCATGGATGTTTCTTTCTCTCCTCTCTTCCTCTCTGAAATCAATAAAAATATATGAAAAAAGAGAGAATGGAGTGATGAAAATAACATTTCAGGATTTTATTTCCCAATTGGAATATTTGTGTTAATCTTCAGCTGGCCTGTTTTCAGAATTAGTGTTTGACTTGGCTTAAATATAGTAATAAGAGGGATCTTTTTTTTTTTTTTTAATATATTTTTATTGATTTTTTACAGAGAGGAAAGGAGAGGGTTAGAGAGTTAAAACATCGATGAGAGAGAATCATCTATCATCTTGCACACCTCCCACTGGGGATGTGCCCACAACCCAGGTACATGCCCTTGACCAGAATCGAACCCGGGACCCTTCAGTCCGCAAGCCGACACACTATCCACTGAGCCAAACTGGTTTCGGCAAGAGAGGTCTTTTGATTGGGGAGGACATTATTACTATGTTAATAGGCAAATTATAGCAAAATAGGACAGATAAAAATATCACATTCTATATAATAATCCATATATAATAATAGAGTAATATGCAAATTGTCCCCTCTACTAGGAGTTTGACCAGGAGTTTTACCAGGGGATGGAACCAGAGGCCAACTGCCCATGGCCCCTCCTCCTGATCAGTCCTGATTGGGGCAGGCTGGCTTGACCCCAGCCTTGCACGAATTTCATTCACAGGGCCTTTAGTTAGAGATAAAAGTGAAGCTAGGCCTCAGGTCTGTGTATTTGACCAAAGCAAAAAAGGTGGAGTGATTAAGGCAGGAAAACATACTGTACTATATTTTTCTCTTAGAGGTTAATATTACACATGTTAAATCAACAAGTCTTACATTAAAGAAACCTGTTTAAAGTTATTTGATCCAGCCCTTTATCTTTCCCCATCCTTTCACTTAACTATTCTTTAAGATAATGATATTTCCAATGAACACAATTTGGGAAAATTATACTTAGCAGATCTCTTCTACTTTTATTTATTTTTATTTTTTTTAAATAAATCTTTATTGTTCCCTGGTACTACACATGGTATTCTCTTCTCTGGAATTTCATGTCTTCAGCTTACGTAAAGCTTACATTCCTTCTAGGCTCAGTTCTGAAGTCTTCCTAAACTTTGCTAACCAGCGATTTATTTACTGTGAACTACTTAGCCTTTTCTCCCAAATGCTGCATTTTGCCTTTCTCATTCACCTTACAGTTTGGGTAGGCTCTGTTTTCTGCTGAAATTTCTTGTCAGTTACTTAAATAATATCGTATTTTTCCTCTAATCAATCATAAGCAAACATTCCCTGAGAAAGTTAACTTTTATTTTTTAAATATATTTTTTAATTGATTTCAGAGAGAGGAAGGGAGAGGGAGAGAGGGAAAGAAACATAAATGATGAGAGAGAATTGATTGGCTGCTTCCTGCACACCCCCCCATAGGGGATCGTACCTGCAACCTGGGCATAGGCCCTGATCGGGATTTGAACCTGTGACCTCTTGGCTCCTGGATTGACGCTAACTGCTGAGCCACACCCAGTTGGGCAACAACACACTTTTATCCATCAGTAAATTGTACAGGCTTTGCCTTCAACAAAACATATCCCAACTCTGACTTCTTTCTACTACCTCTGCTACCAACCTATTGAGTACCAGATTCTTTTCTAGTTGCTGAAAGTAGAGCAGCAAATAAAGTTCTGTCCATATGGAGTATACATAGTTGAATGTAGGGAGGTAGACAATAAAAACATATGCTCTGTTAGATAATGACAAGTGATTTGGTGAAAAATTAAGAGTAATAAAGGAGGCTGGTTTAGGAAGACGGTGCTCTTTATATAGCGAAGGCCTCAGTGAGAAGGTGACACTTAGAGACTTAAAGAATATCTGAGAGGGTAAATAGTTTTCCAGGGAGAGACTTAAAGAATATCTGAGAGGGTAAATAGTTTTCCAGGGAGAGACTTAAAGAATATCTGAGAGGGTAAATAGTTTTCCAGGGAGAGACTTAAAGAATATCTGAGAGGGTAAATAGTTTTCCAGGGAAGAGGTACCACTGATGAAAAGGCCCTGTTATGTGAGTGTCCTGAGTGTGTCTAGAATGCAGGAAGTTTGGTGTGAATGCAAGGTAAGCTAGGAAGAAAGTGGTTTAGGGAATATAATTGGAGAGATGAGGGCAGGGGAGTGGCTTAGGTGTTTGATGTGGAGGACTTAATACCCATTTTTTGTGTCCCATCAGAGTTATTGATTTACTAATTAGTAGGATTTACATTTCTAACAATATTTGTCTTGTAGGGCTGCCAGGGTAGAAGCAGAGAGACTTCTAAGAGGTAATACTCTTGGTGAGAGCTTGTATGGGCTTAGGTTGGTAATGGAAAGAAGTCAGACTTGGGATATATTTTGAAGGCAAAGCCTGTACAATTTACTGATGGATCAAAATGTGAAGTTAAGAGCAGGAGAGGTATCAGTTATCAAGCAAGACAAACAAGGTAGAAGGGCACATACAGGGAGGAGTATAAATCAGTAGTTTTGACTTATTAAGTTGGATGTACTTGGTATGCATATAAGTGCAGAGAAGATGACGATTGGCGGAGAGGTTCAGGCTATAGACAAGTAGTTGCCTGTGTACATAGCTTGTAGTTAAAGCCAAAGAACAAGATCAATAGTTATTAACCAGAAGCATTTTTGCCCCCCAGGGGGTTTCTGGCAATATCTGGAGACACATTTTTGATTGGGGCTGCTATTGGCATCTAGTGAGTAGATGCTAAGAATGTTGCTAAACATTCTACAATGTGTAGGACAGTCTCCCACAACAGAGATTGATCTGGGCCAAAATGTTAAAGCCAAAAGCTTTTCTCTAAGAGCAGGAACAAGATACAGATGCTCACTATCACCACTTCTATTCCACATAGTAGTAGTAGTCTCTCCAAAAGGTAGCATGCATCTCGCCTGCTGTCCTAGCATATGGTGGTGAGGTTAGCGAGATAGGCTCAGCTCTTAACGTTTCTCTTTTTTGCTAATATAAATGTAACAGAACTTACTTTTGTGACTATTTTAAAGTACATTCACAATGTACAATCATCAAAATCCTCCAGAACTTCGTCACCCAGAAGGGAAACCACTTAATCACTCACCATTACCCTCCTACCCCAGCCCCTGCTAACCACTAATCTGCTTCTGACTGTGGATTTATACCTTTGGGATATTACATATAAGTGGAATTATATAGTATATGGCCTTTTGTGTGTGGCTTCCTTCCCTTAGCATGATTTCAAGGTTCATCCATGTTGACACGGGTTAGTACTTCATTCCCTTTAATGGCTGAGTAATACTCTATTGTATGGATGGTGTTGCATTTTATTCATTAATCTGATGTTGGACATTTAATCATTTGGATATTGTGAATAATGCTGCTATAACATCTGATTTGACTTGGTCAAGAGTTGGGGAGGATGGAAGGAGACCCTGTCAGGAACTAAGAAGGAAGACTCAAGATTCAGATACTTTGAAGGGATTCATAAGCTCCCACACAGTCAGAACAACAGGAGTGGGAGTGTGGCCATAGGATACCCTCTCTCAGACCCCAGGGGATGACAAGTATAATATAACAAGAACCAATGTTGGTTGAGCAGTGTGTCAGGTTTCAGCATTTTGCATGCCTTATCTCAGTTCTCACAACCTTATGGAATGAACAGTGTCCCCATTTTATAGGAGAGGAAAAGTTTAACCCGAACTTCTTCCAGTGGAGTGGGGCAGGGTGGAGAGTCCTGTTAGAGATGGTGGTAAGTGGTGTTTGCAGGGTTGAGAAAATCTTTTATTGGCATTTACTTTGAACCATTCAAACAGTTCTCACCTATCTCTTCTTCCCAGTTCAGAGATGCTGGGCAGGGGTGTGGTCAGGGCTGGTGGGGAGCAGCATTCCACCACCCTTGAACCTACATGACCCCTGGCTGCTAGAGGGGTTCTCAGGACTGGGAGAGCAGCTTGTGCTTGCTGCATTCTCTGGGGCCACCAGAGGGCAGTACTTGCTCACATCTTGGCCTCCCTGTGGCCAGGCTTGGGAACGGTAGAGCAATAGTAGTACTCCACCGGATCAGACTCAATTCCTTTTTCAAAACAACTATTTTTCGCATGTCCCCTTTAATAAAGCTTACCTAGGGAAATAATAAATATGACTCCTTAACGCTAAAGAACAAAAAAGGGAGAGTAGCTTGTAATAAGCGAAGGACTTCAATATGTAATGTCTGTACTAGTCTAGCCTTGGTAAAATGGGGACAGAGGACTGGGTCAGCGTGTCCCATGGTTCATTAGCTCAAATTCCATCTTTGCAGTTTTTGTTGTTGTTGTTACACTTCACCCAAGGATATTTTTATTGATTTTTTTTAGAGTGAGAAATATCAGTGAGACACACGCATCGATGGGTTGCCTCCAGCACATGCCCCAACTGGGGCCAGATCGAACCTGCAACCCAAGAATGTGCTGCATGCCCTTGACTGAGAATTGAACCCATCACCCTTCTGTGTATGGGCCAATGCTCTCACTACTGAGCATATGGTCCACGGCCATCTTTGCAGTTTTTAGACTTTTTGTTTATTCTTTTATTTTTAAAATTATCATTTTTTAAAATTCTCAACCCAAGGTTATTTTTCCATTGATTTTTTTTTTTTATAGAGAGAGTGTAAGAGAGAGGGAAAGTCAGAAAAATATCACTATGAGAGAAACACATCGATTGCCACCTGCATGTACCCCAACCAGAGCTAGGAAGGAGCCTCTAATCAAGGTATGTGCTCTTGACTGGAATTGAACCTGGGACCCTTTGGTCTGCAGGCCGACATTCTTATCCACTGAGCCAACACAGCTAGAGCCTTTGCTGTTTTTTATATCCGTGAACTAGTGCTTTTTATTTACTTATCCTGAAAGGCAGAGGATTCGAAGGTGTGTGGTGTAAAATGACTTGCTAGTGAGCGATTGACTTTGAACAGGTTTATGCTCCCAAGGCCAATTCTAAGGGATGCCAAGGATAGCCAAGCTTCACTTATTTGTTGGAATCTTATCTGATCAAGAATCTTCTCAATAAGGTAATGATTTCAGCACTGATTATACAATATCTTCTAATCATTTAATTGGATCCACATGAATTTCAATTTCAGTGGAAGCTTAACTTTCCAAGCCCCCTCCCCTCTTCTCCATTGTGCAGAGCATGACGACAAGAGGACTACAAATTCCTAAAATCACATCCAAACAAGTATATTTCAACACATCGTGGTTTGTTCACACTAACTGGAATTTAGAGCACAGTACCAACATGGATGCTTTAACGTGATCAGGGATAGGATAGAAATTTATGCCTCGTTCTCGTCTGGACCACTGATAGGAAGTGACTTGGTTTCATTTGAGAGCTTCCATAATTATGGCAATTATCTCTGGAAGGCTTTTGTCCACACTGATGTGGATGAAATTTTCTGGATCTGAGGGGGGTTCCAGAGTATCGAACTGAGACTGCAATAACTCGGAGGGCATAAAATGTCCTTTCCTTTTGAGTAAGCGTCCAGAGATGACCTCAAATGACCCACTCAGATAGACCACGAGGAGCTGCACCTCAGCGGGCTTTCCTTCTTTCCCGGGCGCGTCACTCTTCGGAGGTACACCATGCTTTCCTCGTATTAAGATGTCTCTGTACACTTTCTTCAGAGCTGAGCAGGCTAGGACCACATACTGTCCTGAGGTTACCTCTCTGTTAAAAAAAAAAAAAAAAAAAAAAGCAGCGGAGGGGGCGGAAGTGTTACAGAATGAAGACATTTAAAATACCAGGTGTTCATTCTAGGCCGAGTCCAGTACTACTTCCTGCCAGTGGAAGGTGCTATAAAACGGCGGTTAGGATTCAGGTAGTCCTGGCTTTGGAGTAAAGATCTTCAACTAGTGATCTGAATTATCTTGGACAAGGTGTGTACCTATCTGACCACCAATTCATCATCTGTTAAATGGGGCTCCTCAGAGGACCTGCCCATGGAACCGTGGGGAGAAGTTGACCAAGGTGTCGGGTCTCAGCTCCCGTGACTGTAGCCTGTGTCATTTAAAATTTTTTTTTTTTAAATATAGATTTTATTGATTTTTTACAGAGAGGAAGAGAGAGGGACAGAGAGTTAGAAACATCGATGAGAGACAGTCATCAATCAGTTGCCTCTTGCACACCCCCTACTGGGGATGTGCCTGCAACCAAGGTACATGTCCTTGACCGGAATCGAACCCGGACCTCTCAGTCGCAGACCGATGCCCTATCCACTGAGCCAAACTGGTCTCGGCTGCTGTCATTTTTAATTGATACTGTTCTAGGTGCTACTCATGCCTCAGCTTGCTAATTCCTCACAGCAATCTGTGACTAGGAACTATGTAACCCCCTTTCACATGAAGAAGCAGGCTCGTAGAAGCCAAGTGGCTGATCCTAGCTGGTAATTGTGGAGCTGTCTAGGTTTGTGTCCAGAACCCAGCTAAACGATGCCTATGGCTGCTTAAAATCATTGTTGGCTATTTGATAGAAACACATTCCATTCCTGGGATCTTTTATCATCAGTCAGTTGCAATGTCAGGACTATATATTTTACCCTGTACTTTCTGATGGGCCTTCTTGACTCCCTGTGTGCCAAGGCCTGATGCTCTTACCTGAGTAAAATGTCATGCAAGGTGCAAAGCCATGGGATCCTGTCCTGAAATCAGAGCAGACACAGAGTGACTTTTCCAGGTACTGCTTGTTTGTTCAGAAACATGGTTAGTTTTGTCCCTCACTGTTGAGGTCCAGAGAGATCTTCGTGGTTTTGAGAAGTAGCCCATACGCCAGGCCTAGGGATAAGTCACTAGGCAGTTAAGCACAGAAACATTTTCCTAGTTCAGGCCAGTGCTCTTCACAATCCTAAAAATTGCCCTAAAAGATCAGTCTACATCTCCCCCATCGAATCTCCCTGTTGTCTATGTTTTCCCTGTTTCTATTATAAGTCTCCTGTGATTGTACTGCATAATGGTGCCTCTGGTCTCCAATGCAGGGAGAGAAGATATTCATAGAAGCCCTTCTGTCAGCGACCCTTTGTTACTGTTCTTCAAACACTCCTGAAAGAGAACTCCTGCCAGATAAAATCATTGTAAGAAATTTGTATTTTTCCAAAGACAAAAAGAGGTTTACTGAGGACACCCTACAGTGTTTCACAAAGAAATCCTCCTGAGACAAGCTTTCTCTTCCTTCTTGGGGTAAATGCTGATTGGCCATAATACATTAAAAGACAACAACCACGTTTTATTATGGGAATTTTAAGTGTGTACAAAAGCAGACAAAATCATACAAAACAAACTTCCATGTACTCATAACCCAGCTTCAACAATCTTCAACCCAATCTTGTTTTATATTATGTACAGTTATATTCCCACCTGTGCTCCCATCCTTTATGATTTTGATGTGTTTCTGTAACATGATACATTCTTTAAAAGTCCTTGCTTTTTCTTATTTTATTCAGGATTTTTACATTTATATAATGGAGACTGGCTTGCATTTTTTTTCTTGTACAGTCCATATTAGATGTTGGTATACAGCTTATACTAGCCTCATACAATGAGTAGCTTTCCCTCTTATTCTGTTCTTGTATATTGCGTACCATATATTATTATTATTATGGAGTGAATGTTTATCTCCCCCAAAATGAGTATGTTGAAACCCTAACCCGCAATGTGACGGTGTTGGCAGGTCATTGGGTTTAGATGAGGTCATGGAGGATTAGTGCCCTCGTAAGGGAGCAGCAGGAAGAGACAACACATATAGACAGAGCTCTGGTACTTCTGATTCTCAAGCCAAATGCAGCCTCAGCAGGTCATGTTTTCATTTGGGGGGAGAGGGAGGAAGCAGACTGTGTACCCCTGAGCGCCCTCTACCATCCCAGCCCATTGTCCCATAGTCATTTCTATTTTTCTATGGAATTGTCCCCTTTTATATGTCTTCAAGTTTACTGGTGTAAGATTATTCATGACTTCCTTTTCATTCCTAATCTATTTTTTAAAATTTATTGTTGACAGTATTACAGGTGTTCCCCATTTCCCATCCCCTTTGCCTCCCTCCTCCCGGCCTCCACTCCACCCAGGTTTTCCCCACACTATTGTATGTCTGTGGGCTGTGCATATATGTTCTTTGGTTAGTCTCTCCCTCTCCCCTCTGAGATCTGTCAGTCTGTTGCATGCATCCAGGCCTCTGGACCTGTTTTGTTCGTCAGTTCGTTCATTAGATTCCACATTTAAGTGAGGTCATGTGATATTTGTCTTTCTCTGACTGGCTTATTTCACTTAGCATAATAATCTCCAGGTCTATCTATGCTGTTGCAAACGGTAAGATCTCCTTTTTCATAGCTGCAGTTTGTCATTGTGTAAATGTACTACAGCTTTTTTTTTTTTCATCTACTGATGTCATTCCTAATCTTAATTGTGTCCCCCCCACCAAACATCCTGATCAGGCTTGCCAGAAATTTGTCTACTTATTTTGTCAATTAGTTTTGCTAATACTAAGGCTTTATACTTCATTAATTTTAGCATTCATTTTTTTATTTATTATTACATTCTATCAGTTTATTTGTTTTTTCCTACTTGAACACTTAGCTCATTATTTTTCACTCGAGGCCCAGTTCATGAAATTCCTGCAAGCATAGGCCTCATTCCCCCAGCTGCCGGCTCTGGCTTCCCTCTCCAGCACCTGGGACCTGGGCTCCCCTCCAGATGTTGGCAGGCACCAGGACCCAGGCTTCCCTCGCAGCCCCAGCTTTGCCCAGAAGGTCACCTGGAAGGCTGCCCAGTCTAATTAGCATATTATACTTTCATTATTATAGATTCCTGTTATTTTTCTAAAAATATCTTCAGAGACTGTAACTATCTTCCTATGTTTCAACTGCATCCCATACGTTTTGGTTGACAGCACTTTTTTTTGTACATGTCTACATATTTCACATTTTTTAATTTGCAAATTACTTATGAATATTAATTTTTATTTTTCAGTTTTATTTATTTACATTTTCTGACCATTTTAGAGATCTGTGAGAATGTGCTGCTGGACCTGGTGTTTAGGGTCATCTCATTCCTGATAGTCCCTACATGCGAGGGTGAGAAGGGGAGCGGTGTGGCCCAGTGCTTAGAGGTAGTGGGCACCATGAGTGTCCTATGGAGAGTTAAGTTAGAACATCATCATGAGGACAGAGAAGGATATTGGGCTGTGGTTTCAGGGATCTGATGAAAACAAAGCCCTCTCCAAACCCTCCCAAAACTCTTCCCCAGACAGAACCCCTGCCACTGCCTAGGACTGTACTTGATCCTCATCACAGTATTTCAGGGCAGGGCTGGTAGCCGGGGTGACCAGGAGGTGTGACTGTGCCAGCCCAGCCTGACCCACAGCTTCCCTCTTGGACTTGCTGGGCCCTTGTCAAGAATGTAAACCAGCCCTAGCTGGTTTGGCTCAATGGATAAAGCATCAGCTTGTGGACTGAGGGGTCCGGAGTTCAATTCCAGCCAAGGGCACATGCCCAGGTTGTGGGCTCGATCCCTAGAAGGGGGCGTCAGCCAGCCAATGATACCCTCTCATTCACTGATGTTTCTATCTCTCTATCTCCCTCTCCCTTCATCTCTAAAATTAATAATATATTATAGCCAAAGTTGGTCTGGCTCAGTTGTAGAGCGTCGGTCTGCGGGCTGAAAGGTCCCGGGTTCGATTCCGGTCAAGCACATGTGCATTGGTTGGGGGACATCCCCGGTAGGGGGTGTGCAGGAGGCGGCTGGTCAGTGTTTCTTTCTCATCAACATTTCTGGCTCTCTATCTCTCTCCCTTCCTCTCTGTAAAAATCAATAAAATATTTTAAAAAAATAAAATTATACATATATAATATATAATTTTTTTTTTAAAGAAAGAATGTAAACCACCTGCTGTTTTGCCCCTTCCCCCGTTTTGCATCTCTCTTAAGTCAGGCTAAGTTTCTCCTGAATACATTTAGGAACTTGTTACATTTCTTCCAGTAAAGATACCTTGTCTTTGGTATAGTTAATTCCTTTTCTGAATCCTACTTCCCTCACCCCAGGCATACTGCCCACTTAACAAGCCTCACTTCTGAACAGAGGAAGGATGTTTAAATGTCATTTCAAATCCATCCTTTTGGGTTACTTTGCTTTGTTCTTTAACTTAACTCATTTTCCCCCCTCCCCCCCAAATATATTTTTATTGCTTCCAGAGAGGAAGGGAGAGAGCTAGAGAGATAGGAACATCAATGATCAGAGAGAGTCACTGATTGGCTGCCTCCCCCCTGCACACCTCATACTGGGGATTGAGGCACAATCTGAACATATGCCCTGACTGGGAATCGAACCATAACCTCCTGGTTCATAGATCAATGCTCAACCACTGAGCCACACTGGTTGGGCTAACTTAACTCTTATTTGCAACTCACCAAGGAGAAATGTAACACTGGCACAGGCACATCTTACACACTATAGAAATAGTTTTCATTACATATGCATATCTGTATAAACATGACATTAGCAACAATAATAATTAGTATGATATTCATTGAAGGCTTTGGGTATTTCTCTGGACATTTTTATTTTATTTTATTTATTTTATTTTATTTTATTTTATTTTATTTTATTTTATTTTATTTTATTTTATTTTATTTTATTTTATTATCTCACTTCATCCTCCCAAGAACCCAATGAAATGGTACGGTCTCTAACCCATTTGCCAAAGGTCACACAAGTGTAGAGGTAGAGTCTGGTTATCTATGTTTATCTCTAGCACATTATCAGTATTATGTTTAAATTACTGCTCTCTCTCTTTTATGGTTCACTCCTCCTAGCTTCTAAAGTTAAATGTGAACTTAATTTTAAAAAATATATTTTTATTGATTTTTTTACAGAGAGGAAGGGAGAGAGTTAGAGAGTTAGAAACATCGATGAAAGAGAAACATCAATAGCTGCCTCCTGCACAACTCCTACTGGGGATGTGCCTGCAACCAAAGTACATGCCCTTGACCGGAATCGAACCTGGGGCCTTTCATTCCACAGGCTGATGCCCTATCCACTGAGCCAAACCGGTTTCAGCTAAATGTGAACTTAATTTTGATGGTTCAAGTCTTGAATCATTGCAGACTCAGACTGCACTCCCTGAAGCAAAGAGAAGTGCACCCTTAGAATGCTCCAGAATTAGGGGCTCCAGTGGCGCAATCGGTTAGCGCGCGGTACTTGTAAGAATGCTCCAGAATTAGACCTATTAATAGTGACTCAGTCCTTCAAGGCAGGACAAAGGGAAGAGAGAGATTGGGGGCACAGCTGAGCGTGAGGCAAGTCCACAGAAAGTGAAAACTGCAGTGTGGGCGTTTGGCCAGTTCCATCCTGTCCTTTGGACACACTTGGTATGTGTGCCTGGCCGGGGCCCCTGCACTGTGGACCTGGACCTTGACCCTGACATCACAGTGGCTCCTGGGCTACAGCTAGTTAAGCCAACAAATCCACCATTTGTAAGTCTGGCTTGAGAGAGACTCCTAGGCAATGGTCTCGTGATGGTGCATACGGGAAGGAAGTGCTATTCATTCATTCATTCCTTCCTTCTCTCGTTCGTTCATTCACTCACAAATACGCCACAACTATTCTCTGACACCTACTATGTGTCAGGCTCTGGGTATATACAATGGAAGAGAAATGGCCAGTCCCTGCCCTTTGGAGGTGAATCATTCTCACACCCCTCAAATGCCAAGTTGCAACTGGGACACGGGCAATAAGGGACATGTTGCTGAGAGAGTTTATTACGTGAGGTGTTACTTAAGTAGGTCAGGGAGGGGTTCCTTGGAGCAGTGGCACTGGAGCTGAGATGTGAAGGATGCGCAGGGTTAACTGGTGGGGAGGGAAAGGAAGTACATTCCAGGCAGTGGGACCTGGGAAGAAGCATGGCAGGAGCTGAAAGGGGCCACAGTGGCTCCGGGGTGGAGTGGGGGCGGGGGGGGGGGGGGGGCGCCGCGGGGTGTGTGAAGGGTACATGGCAACTAAAGAGCGTGGAGTGGGTTAAGGTCATTTCGGCCTAACCATGCATGTTTAGGAGTTTAGGTGTTTGGCCTTGATCCTGAGATTGGTGGGAAACTTCTAAAGGGCCAGATCTGAATTTGCAAAGATCTGGGGTGGATACCAGAGTCTCATGAAGGTGGCAGGCTGATAGGACCTTGGAAGGGAAGATGAACTGCCCTACGTGGGAGGCCCTTTCCGGGATTATATTCTGCTCGTTGAAATTACGCCACAAAGTGTTCTGGCAGACCCTGCCCAAGTGGGGGGAGACAGTGGGCGCATCTCTCCTGAGGCTGACTTGAGAGAGATTCAGGGCCAAAGCTAACATTCGCGGAGGCCCCACTGTGTGCCTGGCTGGTGGAGCACTGGCCATGAGTCACGTCATAACTCAGGAACTGAACTGTACCACGCACTGCAGAGACCTCAACCTGCGCCGCCCCTTTCGGTGGAAGCAGCGAACGTTACCTGGTCATCCAGTGGAATCCCTTTCCCCATCTTCGCTCGATTCTCCTCTGGGTGGTAGTCATCGGCATCATAGAATTTCCATCCTAGCTTTAAGAACAAAGGGAAAGAAAGGGGGTGTGTGGCAGGCAGCGTGGCCCGCCCTGCCACCCTGTTCTCCGGCAGCAGCTGCAGGGAGCACCGGGGAGCGGGAGGAGGAGGTCTGGAGTGCCACTTTCAGATCCCCGCTCCTGGGCACCGCAGCTACTTTTTTCACTCGTCAGTATTCACAATCACCGAAGGGTGGGGAGCGTGGGGGGCGGGGGACAAAATTGCTCCAGGGGTTTTCACAAGCTCTGTGCAGGCGCTGTGGTGAGTTCTACAAACCACTGCAGGCCAGAAGAAGGGGTGGGGAAGGGAGAGAAGCAAGCAGACACACAGTAGGGCTTGTAATTGGGAGGCAATGGAACAGGTTACCTCAGAAGCCAGCAGGGCGCCCACGGTTGACCTGTGGAAAGGACACAGGTGTTCAAATGACTGCTATTTCCCAACCTACTGTGCCTTCCTCAGTCCTCGGGTGGCTGCCCCGTTAGCACTGCAACACCAGTGAGTCACGGAAGCAGAGAGCTGTGCTCCTGCCCCTGAAGTCTAGGGCCCGACTTTCGTTTTCCCCGGGAATTTAAACGAAACAATCACCCAGTTACCACTAATCCCTCCGCCCAAAAAGCAGAATGTAAGGTCTCATTACGCTCCTGAAGGTGTTTCGACCCTGTTTGTTCTATAGATGTTTATTTTTGAGAAAAATACTGAATAATGAGATGAGGCCTTGAAATCATCCTCAACTCCTCCCTCTCTCATGCCCTACATGCAGCTTATCGACACATCTCGTTGGCTCTTCCTTCAAAAGACGCCGGCATCTGACCGCTTCTCTGCTTCTCTTGGTCTGCATTGCCTCCTGACCTCCCCTCCCACCGCGGCTTCCTTGCTGGTCTCTCAGACACCCAGCCGCAGCGTCTCGGCACTTGCCACCCCCTCTGCCCATAACGCCCTTTCTCCAGCTACCAATGTGGCTCACTCCCTCGCTTCTTGTGGGTCCTGGTCAAATGCCACTTCCTCTGAGGAACCTTCCTAGGCCATACTCCCTGGCACTTGTTCCACGTGCCCTCCTGTGTTTTCCTAGAGAGCACCTACAGAGTAAGGACCGAGCTCAATAAATATTCACCGAGTGCATGGCTCTCATAACCATATCTATAACTATATAAATCATCTGGTTAAGCCGAAACCGGTTTGGCTCAGTGGACTGAAAGGTCCCGGGTTCGATTCTGGTCAAGGGCATGTACCTTGGTTGCGGGCATATCCCCAGTAGGGAGTGTGCAAGAGGCAGCTGATCGATGACTCTCTCATCGATGTTTCTAACTCTGTATCTCTCTCCCTTCCTATCTGTACAAAATCAATAAAATATATTAAAAAATAAATAAAAAATAAATAAAAAGCAGTTCCTTACTTCTTTAAAAAAAAAAAAAAATCATCTGGTTAAGACTCCCTCATCAGGTCCAAGGCAGAGAAGGGTACTGCCCAAGCTCACACAAGCAAGAACCAAGACCTGGGGCTCCTAGACTTACCTTCCCAACTTCTACTCATACAACAATTTTACTTCCATTTCCATTAAGATTCCCCAAATTATTTTAATTTCTCAAGATCTGAGGCTCCACATGCCAGGATAATGTTGGAAAGCGAAACCTACCTACCTGGAGCAGGAAAGAGCTAAACTAGACCCCTGACCGCGGGGCAGGGGGCAGTCCTGGCACAGATGTTGGTCTAATCAAGAAGCCAAACACCTCCGCCCCCCTTCCGCCCCCCCAACAGTAACTTCCAGCTTTGGCTGATGAACACTAATGACAGACGGCACACGCTAGAAGCCAAGCTCCAAAATCGAACCAGAAAGCCCAGGGCCTCGCAGGAGGGCCCTGCGCGCTGCCCAGCCCCGCTGAGGTCCGCAGGAGCCTGGCACCAGGTCTGCCCCGGCGCTTCGGGCTCTGCACCCGCACCTGCTCCGACCCCACCCGCCCCCCCCACCCCGAACCCCCTGAACGCGGGCGCTCCAGGCGCCCCAGCAGCCGCCTCTCCAAAAGGCTCTCCCAGGGCCTCCGTACACACGGGGAGACCCTAAGGAGACCCCGGGTCTCGGCGGCGGTGGCGCGCCCGGCGCCCGGGGCCAGCGGGCTGGAGGGCGGGGAGAGGGAGCAGGTGCCCGGCCTGTTTCCTGCAAAGCGCAGGGGGACCCCCGGGGTCTCCGGTCGCCCCCGGCCCCCGCAGCGGAGCCCCCATCCCGGTCGTCCCCCCTGTCCCCCCGCCGCGCCCCTGTCCTCCGGGACCTACTTTCCCGACCCGCTCACGCCCATGACCAGCAGCGCGGGCACCGCCGCCATGGCCCCTCCTGGCTCCGCCCGCCTCCCCGGCCGCCGGGGCGGAGCAGCGCGCGGTGGGGACCGGCGTTCCGGTCGCCGCACCCGGTCTCCCGGCCCGGCAGACCCCGGTCTGCGAGGAGCGGGGTGGAGGCCGGGGGAGGGAGATGGAGGGGGGTGGGGGTCCTGGGGGTGAAAAGCCCAGAGCCTCCTCCCTCCCTCCATCGCCCTCCAAAGCAAGGCTCTCCGGCTCCAACAACACCTGGAAATAGCTCTGGTTTTATTTAAAATGTTGCTGTGGCTCTGGTTGGGTGGCAAGGTAAAGTTGCGGGTTCGAAACCGGTGGGTCCCATGGAGGAACCAACCGGTGACTGCACGGGTGCGTGGGTCTAGCTCAAGTAGGACCGACGCCGTCCCTGCCTGTGCACCTCGTTGCCTTGGACTCGAACACAGGCTAGCAGCTCTGCGCCAGGCTCCAGAGACAAGTCGCCCAGAAGGGCTGTGGGTAACGGGTTTCATGGGTTCAAGGCAGCAGCTGGCCTGAGCATCGTGCATGCAAAGTATTCCCCAGGAGGTAGTTCATCACATATAGAAACTATAGCCACGGACAGCCGGTTCCTCGTCTGCTCGTTAACTGTTTGTCTGCAAAGGTTGGTGGCTTAGTGTAATGTCTTCCTGTGAGAGGAATGAAGGCAGGAAGTGGGGGAGGGAGAGAGGGGAGAGCTCACCTCCGGTACCTTGCTGGCAGGAGTGGCTTGCATTTCGGGTAAAGCCTGACCCCTAGTGGAACTGGTATGAGCTGGATGAGCTGGACTGAGCAAGTTGCAAGCAGAAAGCAATTTTCGTTATTTCTCACCTCAACCCCCTCAGGTCCGTTCTGTCAGCTTGTTTGTGTGAAATTCTGAGCATGCCTAGTAGTGCTCGAATTCCTCACAGAAGCAATGTGGCAAAGGGTGGAGTTCCTGGCTTTGCAAGCCCGTGAAACTGGTTTCTATCAGTGTGTCCACTGCTGATTAGGCCCAGACAAGTGCTTCCGGAGCCAACACTCAATAGGTTGCAGATGTGAAAGTATTTTGTTATCTATAAATGTCTGACAAAATATTATTTTCTTTTTATTGAGATATAATTGACATATAACTGGAGGTTTAAGGTTTACAACATGTTGAATATATTATCGATATATATATAGATATAGATATAGATATAGATTTTATATCTATATATCTATATATCTATCTACATATATAGATAGATATATAGATATATATAGATAGACATATAGATATAAAATTGCCACAGTGTTAGCTAACATCTCTAGCACATATAATTATCACCTTTATTTGGGGTGAGAAAAGTTAAGATCTAGTCTCTTAGCAACTGTGAAGCTTATAATCCAGTATGATTGTCTACTCTATAATCACTATGCTGTGCATGAGAGCTTCAGGATCTGTTTATCTGCCAGTTGCAAGTTTGTACCCTTTAACAACACCACCCAGTTCCCTGACATGTTAATTAATTAATTTATTTATTTATTTTATTTTATTTTTTTATAGTTGCTTAAACATTTGCATTTTTTATTGAATTTTTTTTTTCATTTCTGTCCGGTTACGACAATTAAATAGGAAACCAAAATTACAATTCACAAACTGTGGCATGAAAAACAGCACGCATCCCATCACCCATCAGGAATAACACGGAGCCCTTTCCGTGTTTTTCAGTCACGGGGTCCATCACACACGTGTCAAGTATACACACTGTCATTTTGTTTTCTTGGGAGGGGAAGAACATTAATCCTGGCAGCACGTTACAATTCTAGGAAGTGGTTCCGACACCGCGGGGTGCAGAGAGAGAAACCATAACCAACATGGAGTGGAGGTGTTTTTGTGGGGGGCCAGGGACTACTCGGCGGGAAGACACCCGTGTGCTCAGTGACCTGCCTGTCGCCTCCGCTGGCTGAGTCTTCCCGGGTGCGGTGCGGAGGAGGAAAGGGCTTCCTGCACAGCTGGTGACAGCTCCTCCCCCGGGGCAGCAGAGTGCCTTCTGTGTCTTCACCCCACCTACACCCTGAGGCCAGGTCTCAAGCTTATCTGGACCCTCGTCGGCATGGTCTTTTTACTTAGACACATGTGACCCCCAAGATTTCTTCTTACTTTTCTCTAGGGTTCAGATGACAGCACAAAACATCACTTGTTGAAAAATAGGTATATTAAGAACGTGGGCATTTATGTCCATAATATTGATAGTTTCTTTTAAAAGGAGCCTGATGGATAAGCCCCAGAGCCAGTTCATGCATTTGCGATTTATAATTGAGCTCATCTCATTTAGGTTATGAAAACCAGAGAACACAGATGATTCATCAGAAGATTGCTTGGTGGGCGTGGATGCAGAGTGAAAAAGTGTTGACCAGAGTGGAAGAGTCTAATGAGCGCTAGTCATTACTCCACGCCGTTCACTGTTTCCTGCCCCGGGAATCCCCAGAGACTTGCAGGACACCCGTGTGTCTGCAGCTCCTCTGCGGACTGCCAGTTCCCAGCCTTTATCCACCTGCTATGGGTCATTTCTCTTTCTCCTCCCGTGTTGTAAAAGCCTCTTTGTGTATTTGTTGTGATATATGTTTTGTCTTTGATTGTAATATAATATGTCTTTTATTACTTTATAACATTTTTTTTTGCCCTGAAGTAGTCAAAGATTTTTATCTAACTTAATTTCTGAGTTTTTCAAGTGTAACTAGTATGCATGGCACTTTTTATGTAATACACTAAAATATTTTTTAAAGATATTTTTATTGATTTCAGAGAGGAAAGGAGAAGAGAAAGATAGAAACATCAATGATGAGAGAGAGTCATTGATTGGCTGCCTCCTAACATGCTCTCCACTGGGATTGGAGCCCACAACCTGGGCATATGCCTTGACAGGGAATAAAACTATTATTGATACTTCCTGGTTCATAGGTCATTGCTCAACTTCTGAGCCATGCTGGCTGGACTACGCTAAAATATTTTGATATTTATTTCTGCCCTGTCAAGTAGGAATCATTTTACCAGTAGAAAAAAATGTTTTATGCATATTAGAAAAATGTATAATTAAAATATTTAGGAGTTTCTTTTGTTATCAGTTTATTATTTTAATCAATTATAGGTAATGCTCATTTACAAAAGCATGTATCAAAAAATATAAGAAAATGGCCCTAGCCGATTTGGCTCAGTGGATAGAGCATCAGCCTTTAGACCAAAGGGTCATGGGTTCTATTCCTGTCAAGGGCACATACCTTAGTTGCAGGCTCCTCCCTGGCCTGGGTCCTGCTTGGGCAGGTGTGTGCAGGAGGCAACCAATCAATGTGTTTCTCTCACATTAATGTTTCTCTCTGTTTTTCCCTCTCTCTTCTACTCTCCCTAAAAGATCAATGGAAAAATATCCTCAGGTGAGGATTAACAACAACAATAAAAAAAAGGGGGGGGTAAGAAAACGAGTGGGAGAAAAACATAATTTTGAGAAAATTCTGTTCATAAACTTATTTTAATCTTGTGGATTGGTAAAATGTGTCTTGCCAACATATTTTGGTTGGTCCATCTCATGCAATGTTCCTTGTGAATATAGTTGGCAAGCCCCTATATCATATTTCTCAATTCTTCTCCCACCCTGTAGGGACCTAGAAACATGTGAACCAAAAATTTCACTTAGTTAAAAAAATACATTTGCCATAAATTTTAAAACAATAAAGGTAAAGCTGGATCCTCAAAAATTGATGGCAACATGATAATGGTTTGTTACTGATGGGAAGGATGTCTTGTGAATATCTTTCCCAAGGCATCTATATGAAATGTTTGAAAGAGCTTGAATTACAGGTTAACTCCTTGCTGGTTTATTTCCTGGGGCTTGACTCCTATGAATTTAGAGAGCACAGGCTCACAATGCTAAGTCATTAGGATGACAGCAATGGCAGGAGGCTCTGTCAGCCGGTATTGGATTGTACAGAAATGATGGACACCTCATTGGTGACTACATTCAGATGCTAACACAGCCAGCATAGCACACATATGCTCCACAGAGAAGGATTCCAATTTGGCTCCATTCAGCCTTGGAAAGCCATTCTTCATATTCTGTTACAATCATTTGCATATGGTGTGAAAATATGCCCCACAACATGCCATTGATTTTATTCTTGAGCAAAGATCCAGCAACTATTGAGAAAGAGCCAACTTCCACACTCAGTTGTTTGTACATGGTCCATTTTTCTTAAGATAGGGTTGATATCTTTAAAGAAACAACACATTTTTATTGATTTCAGAGAGGAAGGAAGAGAGGGAGAGAAATAGAAACATCAATGATGAGAATCATTGATTGGCTGCCTCCTGCACATCACACACTGAGGATTGAGCCTGCAACCTGGCATGTGCTCTGAGCTGGAATCAAACCCTGACTTCCTGGTTCATAGGTTGATGCTCCACCACTGAGCCACATCAGCCCTGAAAGAATTAGTGAGACAATTCACTTTAGAATCAGGCCAACTGAATAATAAAAAACCATTCTTACTTTGCATTGTCATAAAGTAATTATTTTATTTAAATACAATAGTATTATGCCTGAGATAATTCATAGTATAATAAAAAATCTATTTTTGATGGCGGTTTAAATGGAATTGCCCCCTCATCATGTGTTGAAAGAAAAACAAACCAAATTCTTCAAATAATGCATCTGTGTAGAAAAGAATAGTAGCACCCCTGCTCATTGCAGTGTACTTCAAATTTTGCTGGATTCAGCAAAATGCACTGTTGCTGTCCCAACCCTGGGCACACCATTTAAATGTTGGAGGCTTAGTTTCTTCTAAATGATGAGAGAATCCTGTTCTATCTACTTCATAGTGTTTGAAATAAAGCTGAAAGCATTTGTAAACTGCAAAATGCTGTAGAAGTGATGGTGGCTTACTAGTACATTAGTTGATACCAATTTAGAAGAAAATTGTTCCATTTTAGAGTTTATTCTTAACTACTGTATCAGCTAGTACTGCATTACATCAATAGGAACATGCTAGTGAGGTGAAAATACTCCATGATTAATTAAACAATAAAATCTTTGACATGTATGTATTACTTTAAAAAATTATAATGACTCTT